GTCACCTTTGTTATGAAGGGGATGAAAACTTACCAGATTGGATTGTCCGAGTCTATGGAGTTCTCTGTGCAGGTAGAAGACTGACATTTTTCCTGAAGTAGTATAATCTCCTCCTTCCTCAACTCTTCCAGGCCATGACCTACATTCAAGAGACCCTGGATGGGCACAAATGACCCCTTTGGACAATGAAGAGTTACCATAGCAGGTCCCAGAAAAGGTGTCGTGGTAGTGTGTCCCATTGTGCCAGCTCTTCCTGACTTCTCCACAGATCATTGACACCTGTTTCAGTGCATCTGACTCTTGCAGGTTCAAAATGTCTCTGGAGTGTGGAGGCAGAAGTGACAGGCTACCAATGGCCGCAATAGAGAAGGTAGTCACCTTCCTCCAGTTATTAATATTTTGAAGTGACAGGGGCAGAAGGTGGGGCACAAAAAAAAAGTTGGAAAAAAGAAGGATACATTAACATACCCAATACCACTGTCAGCATCCCTCAGTGGATTTATGTTGGTTAGAGGGAGTTAGTATTGTTCCCTTCTGCTTTCCAGGAGGCTATAACTTCAATGCAGAGAGTTAATGTGTTATCCTAGGACAGTAGCCCAGACAGTGCATATAGCCTTGACATTAGCAAATAGAGTTGACTTTTGGGCAAAATTTTTATTCTGCCTGCTTTGAAGTCAGATTACAAAAGGCTTTCCCTTGACACCATATTGTTAGAGCATAGCAGTCAGCTATTCACTAAACAAAACTGCTTTGGATACTGACTCATAGGCCCCTCTCTTATCCTGTATACTTGGAAGGATGCTTTGTTAATGTCCTTTTAGATTCAAAGTTGTAAGGTAAATGATCTTTGTTGAGCTACTGCTATTTTGAACCTGTGAGGCATTTTATAAAGATTATGTCATTCCACTCTGTAACCCTTCTATGAGAAAAGTATTATTTTCCCCCAACTTCATAGGTAAGAAATTAAAGGTCAAAGATGAAAATAAGATCACACAGCTGTCCAATTGCCAGGGAAGTTTTATTAGTGTTTAGATTGTCACCTGGTGGGTTGACTTGAGGCTTTTACCACCCACAAGGCAACTCCAGAGTTTCCTGTAAATTTCTTTATCTTAAAAACAACAACAGCAAAAACTATAAGCTGTGGTGTTCCTTTCTTACAGGGCTCAGACAACTAGAATTTTCTATAGCTATACAAAAATCCACGAGTCCTTTTGGAATCAAATGCTCATTTTCAATCTTCTAATTTCTACATTTATTTTTATGTATGAGAGATATTTGGAATGCAATAATCCATGTTGCTGAAGATTTAGTCTCTCTAGAATGAGAACAGGTGCCATTTTTATTTATTTGTGTGTTATGCCATTGTTGCTTTCACTGGGGTTATGTACATATGCCTTTTTCATTTCATTAAATATTCAAAAATGACATTCAAACACTTACAGTGCAATGCGCTGTAACAAATGCTAGGTCACTGTAAGGTTCTGGATTTTAGGGTACAGTTTTGTATAGATGCTTTTCTGTATGAAATTCACATGAACATTTTTCAGAAGCTGCTTTAAGAAAGCACATGAGTAAAATCAGCATTTTGGTATAATTTGAAAACATAGTGTCTGATAGAGAGCTTGGACACTAAGCATAGTGCTGTTTAATCCTCATGTCTTTGTTTATTAGATCTTCCATTGAGTTGGTTTGCCTAAAGGATAGACTGAAGTAACATATTTAATATGGAAACTAGCAATCCCAAATCTTCTTTGTGCCTAATATTTAGCAAGATTAAACTTATTATATATTACAGACATGATTTTGAATCAGGGAAGAAAATTACCATTTATATTGATGGTAGCAGAGAAAATTTACAAGGTTTTCAAAATAGAAAGGTATTTATGTATTATTTAAACTAGTAGTATGCATTTAGCAAGACCAACAGATTAAGATTTATATAAAGAATCCAGCTAATCAGTGTGGGTATTCCCATCATTTCATGTCTGTTTGACCTCTAGAGGTCTTGTGTTGGTTTGTTGTTTGTTTTTTAAGCTAAAGTGAGGTGGCAGGGTCTGACTGGGACAAAACTGATGGTTACCTATTTCAGTGGCTTTGGGATATTTATGTCTGTAGTTTGCCTTTGGGGTTATTGTTTCCCTACTTGAATGTCCTTTCTCTATAGCCTGTTTTCTGCAAAGGCTTCATGCAGCAATGCTCACTGGAGAATAAGTAGAAATTTAGAGAGAATTAACTAACACTTTGAAGTTTGAGTATTCATAATAATAAGTTGCTTAAAAGTAGATGGCAAAGCTTAGGGGGATTTGAAGGTACAGAACCACATTTTATCAGGACCTTCTTAATTGTAGTAGATCCTTCGTTCTCTCAGATTTAACAGGGGATTTCACTTATTGGTAGGAGAGGTCATGACATGTAGTAATTTATCATTTGGCAGAAGAATGTATTTGAATCATGTTTCTGTGGAGGCTAATACATGTGAGTCCAACCTAGAATCTGGATTCATACCTCGTCACTTTATGTTTCTTACTTAAAATGTCTTCAGCCCGATGTTGTAGCCAGAGCTGATGTCCTTTTGATAGAATGGAGAAATTGGGAAGGCATATTCTGTATGATTTGTGTAAATCAGATCTTGTGGAAACCTGATCTAGTGGAAACCTGATCTTCTTGAAGATCTTTACATACCCAAGAATAATTAGCAGTTTCTAGTAGGTTTTTTTTTGTGTTTGTGTGTGTGTGTGTGTGTAGAATCTTGTATAATTTTTTAGTGGCTTATAAGGAAAAGAATGTAGGTTACAGGCTCTAAGGAAGTTTATACCCTAGTTGTGCATTTCATATAATTTACTGCTAAGTTCATATACATCACAGTTATAAGTGCATATAAATCACAGTTATAATTATGTAGTTATGCATTGGTAAGTGCTCTGCTGTATTAATTTTTCAATGCATTAGTGCTTAGAAGTAAAATAAGACACCATTATAACATTATAATTAAGGTAAGATTTATCATGGCGGACTTCCTGGAGGAAGTGAACTTTGAAACAAACCCATCTATATCACCTTGTTGAAGGGTAATTCCATACTCACAATGAGGTCTTATGCAAAAGACAGCCTTAGTGGTAAACAAACAGTAAACTCAGTATGGTGTGAATTTCACAGACATGGATAGTCTCTTAGTACTAGTACTGGAAGTTCTTCTCATAGCTTAGACAGTCCTTTACCTGACAGCTTTGCCTTCTGTTAAGAGATGTGCTGATTCAGGTACTTAGCATTGAAGGTGAATGTTTTTTGATCCTTTATTTAAAAGGATACAATTAGTTTGGATCCTGGGGATTACCTGACACAACGTGACAACTTTATATTTTCAGATACTGTTAGAGTGAACAGATATTAACGAAATAAAGGAAAAAGGGGACCTCCAAGAGCTTCTTTGTGGCCCCAGTATTCCAAGTTATTTGGGGAGAATTATATTTTGAGCTCAGGACACAAAAACCAGAAGTAGGTCAAAGGTTTTTATTTTTAAAGATGTGGTATGTACCTACAATGGAATATTATTCATTCTTTAAAAAGAAGGAAATCCTGCCATTTGCATCCACGTGGATGAATCTGGTGGACACAATGCTAAATGAAATTAGCCAGACACAAAAGACAAAAACTGCATCATCCACTTATATGTGGAATTTTAAATAGTCAGACTCATCAAAGTGGAGGAAAGAACAGTGTTTGCTAGGAGGAGGGGAAGGAGGAAATGAAGAGATGTTGGTCAAAACACATACAGTTTCAGTTATGAATGGGTAAGTTCTGGGGATCTGATATGCAGCATGGCAACTGTAGTTTACAATTCTGTGCTAGGTACTTGAAATTCACTTAGTGGGTAGATCTTAAGCATTCTCAGTACAAAAACATAAAAAGAAACAAAGAAAGAAAAAAGTGATGACTACATAAGGTGATAGATATGTTAATTACTTGAGAGCAAAGATCATTTCACAGTACATATGTTTATCAAAACATCAAGTTGTATACCTTAAATACACAATTTCTGTTTTTCAGTTATAACTCAGTAACACTGAGAAATTAAAAAAAAAAAGATTAAAATGCTGTCATGTCTGTTTTCATACCATAATGAAAAAGCCAAAAGCAGTAACTTTAGATTTAGCTTTTTCAGCTTGTTGACCTCTAGATTCTGGGAAGAAGAATCTTCCAGAGAGACTGCTCTTTTTAAGTACCAGGGCAGTCCATTTCAGTGCAATAAGTATAAGGAATGAGCATAGGAGGAGAATTTTCAAAATGCAGATGTCAAGACACTATCCCCAGAGGGCATATTTAAATGTTGGAGGAAAGAGTGGTATGTATTTTGTAAAAGCAACCACGTTTATTTTGATATGATGCCACCATTGAGAAACTCTTTGGGATTATACTTGGTGGTGGTGGTGGGGGGGTATTAAAAAATCAAGGCCTTATGGCATGCTTATGATTTATCAAGTTTGATAGCTGAAATTAAGTCATGATGTGAAAATGCAAATGCTAGCTAGCATTATGCAAGCAATGGTGGGCAATAGCAGTGTTCTGCTATATTTCACTCCCACTCATTTCCACCATAAACTTCTAGGTTAAGTTTATTATTAAAAGAATTACACTCCACCCTCTAATACCTCTCTGAAGAAAGGATGTGTGGCATAAAATGTTAGTCTTTGGCCAGAATGGTTTTGTTCCCTTTATTGTATAGGTTTAATTATAATCTAAAAATGAAACTAAGCTTCATCAGCTTAATTGTTTGTGTTGGTTTTGAGGATTTAGGCTCCATAAACAATACAGCCTTACCCACATTTGCAGGTAGGGATAGAGAATTGCTTGACTATTATTAAGGGCAACTTCTATAAGTACCTTCTAATGCACCCTGAACAGAGAAGTTGCAATAATCCGTTATAGAAAAACGGTTGTGCTATTTACTTTATGTTGGATCAGGCTTACCAACATTGATTCTTTCTTTTTTCTCCCCTCAGATGTACATCCAGACAACAACACTTACTGTCTCCATGAGTTTAAGTGCTTCGGTGTCTCTAGGCATGCTGTATATGCCCAAGGTTTATATTATAATTTTTCATCCAGAGCAGAATGTTCAAAAACGCAAGAGGAGCTTCAAGGCTGTGGTGACAGCTGCCACCATGCAAAGCAAACTGATCCAAAAAGGAAATGACAGACCAAATGGAGAGGTGAAAAGTGAACTCTGTGAGAGTCTTGAAACCAACAGTAAGTCTTCTGTAGACTTTCCGATGGTCAAGAGCGGGAGCACTTCCTAATAGATGTACGTTGAACATTCTTCTTCTAGTCTTGGGGACTGCGCTGCATAGTTCCACGGGCACGGTGGTACTCACACACCATGAGACCATCACGGCAGTTAGAACCATTTGGTTAGAACCAAATAACTTTAAGGCGAGTGGCTCTTCTCTAGAGCGTAACTATGCATACGAAATCTCTTTTACAAAGTATCACATTTGTGGCTCCCTTTTGAGGCATAACCAAGCATCTGAAGCTTGGAATTATCTTCCATTTATAGAATTATTATGTAGCACTTAGAAACTACTCTCCAGTCTCTGTTAGTTCAATATTTGTTGTTCTTTATTGATTTATTGGTTGCTCAATGATCTTACACAAATAAATGATATGATATATAGGTATTTAGGGAAATGAGAAAACTAGTGAGCCAACATGTTAGGTTAAATCATAGTTAATACTTATTATCCCCAAGTGGCCCCCTTTTCGGCTATATTAAGATAATTAGAGCTCTTCTCTGAAAGCTTCATGACCCTGAAAATAGGATCCTTCCTGCAGTTACTGGTCTACTTGTCCCTTCCTCACCTACCTTCCTCTTCTCTGTAGTCACCCCTGAAGGAGTGCACCATAACAATACACCACTACTAAGCTAATCCAGTAGAGTGTAACTGGTCCATTTTGGTATCTATGGAAGAGTAACAAATAGGTTGAAGATCTGTATTGTAAAATACCAGATAGCTGAGTACAGAGAAAAAAAAAGCAATCTTTATGTTACTAGCTTCTGATGGATCAAAAAGATATAAAAGCTAAGGTTCTTGCATTAGACCTCAGACTTCCTGTCTTTTAGAAATATAGCAAGTTTTTAATAATTAAGGATAAAACCCTATACAAAAATACTCTCTTCCTCTCAGATTCCTACAGCAGGCTGTATTCCCTATTCTCTATACTTCTGACAAGAAATACAGGCAAGATTAAGTGTGGATTTTATCCAATTTAGTTATTATAACAACAGAATCTGCACTAGATTTATAAATATTTCCTTACATAAAGATTTCCAGATGAACATTGTCTACTCTGATGCCCCATATGCAAAAATGGCCTTAAAAGATAAGCATTGATCAATTAAGTTTATTGGCTATAATTGCTATCAGACTTCTTGGAATTATTGGTCAGATTTTCTGGGAAGATTCCCTTCAGCTCCCTAATAACCAAATTTAGTCACCTGTGCATAAAGAAGTCTTTTAAAAATTCCACAAACACTCCCCACATATTCACCTTTCTGAAAACATGAAACCTTGAAAAACTGCAAGAGAAGTTACAATAAAGACTGGTTTGGGTAACAAATCATTATAATCATCTCTGATTATAGGTAAGCAATTTAGTAATAATGGGCCTATTTGGTCTTTTAGCAAAAGATGCACTATAGCTACTATCAAAAGTGTCAGAGTTCAATGCTTATGATTTGAGAGCAGAATCTTATCTGTGTTTTTCTACCTTGAAAGCATCAGAGCAGCCAGTTAAAACCTGTTGTAGGATGCTGGTAAACTGCTGTTGGCCGGCTGTTGGCATTTCCCACTACAACTCATCAGAGTCTGTAGTTAGACTTGTTTTTTATTTTTTAAGCAACTATCCAGGAAACTTTCTGTAATGTGGTTGCGAATGGGAACACCCAAAAAAAATTGAAATAAATACCAGTCATCCCAGACTTACTTCTAGAAAGTGGCAGGAGAAAAAAAATCAAAATTTTCCCACCCTTTTAAAAAATAAATAAATTCCCTGAAGAGGAATATTCCCAGCACTGATAAAGACTAACCCCATATTTAATAGAAGTAAGTCTCATGTTCTTTGTTTTCCTTCTATTATTTTTGGTTGATACTGAAATGGAAATTATATAACAAGCATGCATTTCCCTACTTTCTCTGAAATAAGAATGAAAGATCTTAATGGAAGGTATGCCTATACTATTCTGGAAGAGTCAGAAGCTCACTTTTGGAAGGTAAAAGAAAATTAAAAAGGTGAATCAAGATAAAGTCAATTACTACCTAAAAGGTAGTTAAACTGTACTTTGGCAACTTTAATATATTTATCTTTTAAGTAGTTTGGATTTTAGTAAATTGGGTCCAATGAAGTGATTATAGTTTACACATTTAGGAAAGACAGTGCATATTCTCCTTCAGTCCTATTCCAGGTAACCACTGTTGATCTTTGTTCACTTGTATCACCAGGTATCATGGACTTCCTATGTCTCTATTAACTTGACTACACGTACTAGTGGTTTTAATTGAGGCAAGTCTTTAAAATCACACTCCCTACAAGTATCAATGACCGGAATAACTTAAATGCAGGGTTTTTCTTCTACAATTGTGCCTATGTTTTAGAAGTAGAACTGAATATTGGAAAACCTGTGTCCTTCAAAATTAAGAGTCCGCCACTCAACCTACTGAGTTACCCAGGCACTCCATGCCTCCTCAGATTTAAAATGCCTCCTCTGGGGTTGGGTGGAGTCTGTTCTCAATTAATTAAGGGCTAGTTAATCTACTGGAACAGTATCCATGTTGCTGCATTCTCATGCTTTCTGTTATGAGACTTGTAACAAGTTCACCATTGCAGTGACATAGGAGAAAGTGTTTTGCAAACTATGAATCACCATATAAGTAAGATATTAGTGTCATTGCTGCCTTGGAAAATGTAGATTGCACTGTCATTAGTAGAAAAGACTTAAAATTCAAAAACTACTCTTTTAGCATCCCTCTTTCTTCATTTTTTAATATGTGGAGGATTTGGATAATTATGGCTGCTATTCCATTGCTGGGATTTTTTCGGACCAATTAGCAATGTATTTATGATGTACATTGCAATGCTTTTCCTTCATGGCCATAGAGCTCTGTAAGTCCTTTGCACTTAGAAACTTCATCTTAAAGATTACTTGTTAATGCCAGAAATTCTGGCCACATATTTAAGGTTTTCAAGCTTCAAAATCTATACAGAATAAATATAAGTAATGTGAAGCTGGAAGGGAGGCCAATGAGTCCATGTTAATTACTGAATTTGCAGAGTACTACATTTCACATAAAAAAAGGTCAAGTGTTGTTTCATAAAAGTGTGTGGAAAGGGAGTTAGAAGCAAGTTGATGTGTATGAATTTATCAACTGTACCCAATTAACAAATGCTGTAACATGGTAGTTCTTAAGCTATGTTCATGAATAATTCATGAAAACAGCTGCTGCTGGAGGTGGAACTGCTTTCTCTAGCTTATGAACACAGTGTGGTGTCCACAAGGCAATTCACCATTGCTGCATTCCAGAACTGATTGTCACATAAGTATATTCATAGCCACTGTAAAAAACTCCCTAGTAGCTCACATGTACATCTCTGATCCAGTTCGCTCTGTAAAACTTCCAGTATAAAGATTCTCCCAAGACTTCTGCCTCCACAATTTGTCCCTCGTCACTGTTTTCCCATTGACTAAATCATCCATGTCCATAGCCTTGCATCCCTTTTTCTAACCATTAGAAAAATTAGGATAACTTTCCTTTTGTAAATTATAGTCAGAGCTCTCAGTAGAATTCTACCTTCTTTTTCCCTGGGGATAGCTTTGAAGAGTTCAAAAAATGAAGTATGAATCTTTAATTAGCTATAGAGTCTCAAAGTTGGAATGATCCTTGAGTGGTCTGATCCAAATCACCTTCTGTTAATTTAACATCTTCCAAACATCATCTTCTTCAAGGCCTTTTGGGTCTTATTCCTCTGTTTCAACCATAATTTTTCTTCCCAGCTATCTACAAACTTGATAAATATTTCCTACATTTTTAGCTACCGTTGAAGATATTGAATAGGGCAGGACATTGAACAACCATTTTAAGGGTTGTTTTTCTAACTGTTATGACAATTTTTCTTCATCTTTCTTCAAAGACTATATGAAAGTCCTTCAAAAACATAATTGAAGAACAGATTTTGTTTTTGTAGAGGGAATTTAGAGGTATATGAGGTATATGTTTAGAAATTTTTTTAAAATTTAAAAATAGTACACAAGCATAAAAATCACTGTCTCACTTCACACCAACTGAACATCACAGACATCTAGCTTTTTGGAAGGGGTCAGTAGGAAAGTAGGATTCCATATTCATTCTCTCAGACAGCAGCTGCTCCCCCACAAACCTAGTCACCTCCATCCTCACAAAAACCCAATATTGTGGATTTTGGACTAGCAATGAAACTGAGGCCCAGTGACTTGGTTCACAGATCTTTTTAAACTCATTTTGTAGGGAACAGAATGTAATTTAAAACCAGGTCAAAATCCCACTTCCTTTCTATGTGCCACAATAATAGCCTAGAAGTGTGAATAATGGAGACAAGAGAAGCAGATACGTTAGCTTTTTTTTTTTGGCATAAAGCTCATAATATTCAATGAAATAAAAAAAATAGCAAAAACACATATAATTAGCATTTCCTTAGGCTCTCTGCACTTATTTTTGTGATTGTGAACTTTGTGTGATCTCAATCTCTGCTAGGAACTTGTCAGGTCAATTATATTGATGTAAATAAACTGATTCTATTTCAGAGGAGGAGCTTTATAATTTGCTTATTTAACGTTCAAAAACTAAATAATTACCTAAAAATCTGTTTCATCTTGAATTGGACTTATGTAGTGAAATACATACATATTTAACATTATTTCATATTTTTCTTCTTATGATTATGCATTCCAGAATTCCACTGAAATATAGGACATCACATTTGAATTTTAGAAGAGAGATTTATTCCATCACATCTTTCAAAAAAAACCAAAGGGATTATTTGGATTTGTTTATATTCTCTGAAAACTTAAACATGAGTATAATAAATTTGACTTAGAATACTTTGTTATTTATAGCTTTCTAATAATCTTACAATAATAGGTTTTACTTTATAGTGAGTTGGTATCAGAAGAATAAAATATTTATTTCCTTCTTTGAGTCTTTGTTTTTAAACACCTCCATTTGTATCCTTTGGCTGAAACCGGAACATAAATATGTACCTGCAATACACATATGTACTTTAATATTTACAAATATTCTATGTACTTTATAGAACATACAAGTATACCATGTTTACTTCTAGAGCCTAAAAGTATTATTTGCCTTTAAGGGGCACCTGGGGGGCTCAGTCGCTTAAGGGTCCAACTCTTGATTTCAGCTCATGTCATGACCTCAGGATCATGAGATCAAGCTCTGTATAATGCTCTGCCCTAGGTATGGAGCCTGCTTAAGATTCTCTCTTCCCTTCCTTCTGCCCCTCACCCCCCAAATAAACAATGAAAAAATAAAAGTATTATTTTCTTTAATTGAAAAATACTCATTGTCAAAGCACAAGTAGTTGTAATTACTTACCTGTTTTTGGTTTTCAAATCAGACTCAAAGAATTGAAGTCTTTAACTTAGGTTGTAAAAAAATATTTTTTTGTCTTTTGCAGATCATTTATGTGTTCTTTCATTTTTCATATTGTGTATCTTTGTTACTCAAAACACATTTAAATTGAATTTCATCTAAATTTATTATGATTAGAACTTTTCCATTATTAGTTTTCTGCTAAGTAGTTATAAATAGCAATGGTTTTACAAATTAAAATTGTTGCTGCATTATTATTCCTGTTATCACTGAATTCCTCCTACATGGTTTAAAAAATATGTAACATGTTGTAAAAATGGAGTATCATAAAATAGTGATTTTAGGATTTGAATTTTAAAATAATTTTAGCAAAATAATTTATTTTGATATCCTATTAATTTGTCTTAATTTGTCTTAACAGCTTCCTCTACTAAGACAACATATATCAGCTACAGCAATCATTCAATCTGAAACAGGGAAATGGTATAACGTGAAGAAATCTGGTATGTGATGTTAAACAATAAACATGACACCGCCAAAACTCACTCCTGGAGATCTCTGTAGACTACAATCAATCAAATCAATAGTCAATCTTGTAAGGAACACAAAGTAGCCATGAGCCAAAAGTATCAAAAACAGAGTGAAAAAAAAAACATTTTATACAGTACAACCAATGAGTGTCAAGCTAAAGTATTGCTTACCCATAAGCAGTTAAAAAAAATCACAAAAGGAAAACTAATGTTAGCTTGTGAAAAAAAAATGCTGTTGAAATAAACCGTGTCTGATGTTATTCTTGTAAGTATTTTTCTGTGATTGTGAGAACTCCCGTTCCTGTCCCACCTTGTTCAACTTGTATAAGACAATGAATCTGTTTCTTGTAATGGCTGACCGGATTGAAGCCTTGGGTTGTGCTAAAAATAAATGCAATGGTTGACGCATGCAATTTTTTATACAAATAATTTATTTCTAATAATAAAGGAATGTTTTGCAAATGTTGAGAGTTGTTTCGTTCCAGTTTTAAAGCCAAGGAACACTCTGTCGAGGGGGCACTTCTGCTGTTAGCTCCTGATGTAAAAGCCCTAGTGATCCGTGGTTGATTTCTTCAAAGATTGTGTCTTTGTACATTCATGTGTATATGAAGAAGATTGTCCTTTATTCCTCTATGAAAAAGCATTATTTGTGTAAGAGTCTGTGAGTATTTCAAAACGGATATGGTAACTTTTCATAGTAACTGCTTTTTTTAATGAAGAATCAAGCAATAGCTTGAGGTAAATTGCTTCAAGTATTCTAATTAACAAATGATGAGTTAAACTTTACTATGGAGAATATAATATGAAGATCACCATCAAAAGTATGTGGAAGGGTCACTGAAATTCTCCATTTTCTAAGTCAAAACTTCTGCACATTGGAAGATTTCAAGGTATGTGCTATTAACCTTTTCTTACCTGGGCCTGGTATCCACTGAAATCAGTGAAGTAATGGGCCTTACCAAGTACATTCCTCAAAGCACAGAATTAGCATATTTATTCCCTTGGCATCACTAAAGAAACCACAGTTCAAATAACATGTCAATGCTTTCTTATTTTCCAAATGAAAACATTCATTGGTTCATAGCACAGTATCATTAAAGAGAGAAAACAGGAAGCCTATGTCATGCTAATAAACCATGCTAGGGTGAATAAAAGAAGCCTGTTAAAAGCTTTCAAATTTGTTACCATTTTCATCTGGGCTCCTTGGTTCTATACAATCCCAGACATCCATCAAGTCAATGGGTCTCTACAATCATTTTGTTAGTAAATGTTCTCTCTGCTGAGTTAGCTTGGATGGCTCATTGCACTCCTTATAGATATAAAGAACTATCTATGCTCCGTAGCTTCGACCCAGATATTGACAGTCACTTTATTTAATAGGGAGTTGAAGGAGCACAGCTCAGCCTCCTTCACCATGTAGTAAAGTTTCCTAGATACCTACAGAGATAGAAAGCTGCATACAGAAGGAGACGTGTCCTTATTGGCCTTTTGTTGAGTTTCTCCTAATAGCATTAGATAATATTTAAATCAAGGAGTGAGGGGATTATTTTCAAAATTTCAGATAATCTGAGTTACTGATAAATACAATCCTGTATTTATTAAATGTATTTATTAAATGTATTTATTAATCCTGGATTCTAAACCCACCTCTAGGTGTGCCTTTCTAGATAAAACATAGTTTAAAACAAAATCATATCCGCACATTTAGTATATTTTACTGTGCATGTATCTGAGAATCAATAGCCATACCAGGAAAAATAATTATAATTGTATTTTAATTTTTAAATTGACTGTTTTCCTTGTATTGGAGATTATTAGTGGCTTTTAAGGATTTTTTTTACTTAATTTTAATTATTCAGTATCCATATGTTTGGTTGAGAAAAATGCTTGAATTTTACAAGCCGTGCATTTTGTTCGAAGAGCAAAATTCAAGTATGTTTTCATTTACTAATTTTCTCTAATCAGGGTAAGTGGATGCAACAGGGTGATTATGAGAGCCTAGCCAGCTCTCTCAGGCCAAAGGTGGTTATTATTATTTTTTAAAGGCTTTAGGAAGAAAAATAAAATATTAAGCATAGCTCATGACATTTCAAAATTGTTCTTCCTATTACAATCTTACCAATGGGTTGGTTTTTTCTAAGTATTTTTATAAATAATTGATACTTGTTTGGTGTTTGACAAAGTCTTATTTAACTCATAACAGAGTTGAGTAATAATTCTTATAGATTTACATATCCCAATCATCTTTTATAACACTATCTGGGGAGTGGTGGGGGGAGATGAAAATGATCACCCTTCCCAGGCAGTGGGAAGATAAACTCCCACAGCCTATTACAGTTGGAGCTGGAGAATTCTGACCTCAGCTGTGTTTTTTTTCCTCAGGGATTTTGTTGAGGGCTCAGGAGGTAGTCATAGGCTGGGACAATGTAGGGAGGCATCCTGTAAGGCGAAGGATTTAGCATGTGCTAGTAGTGGTTCATAAGTCCTATGCTTTAAAACGAACTGCCTGTGTACTATAGATAAGCAAATGCAAAGTTGCCTGGAAAAAAATATAGTATATTCTTCAGAATCGACCTTGTGTTTTATTCTGGCCAAGAAACGTCACATCTAATCACAGCATGCCAGAGGGAATGCTAAAAATGTAGCCCAAGGTAATATTCAGCAAATGTCACTAGTAGACAGTGAGCAATATTTTAGTGTGACCTTGGGCCAAATCTGACCTCAATTAAAAAAAATTAGCTTATACTAGTTAATATTTAAAGGTGTCTAAATCAATGATGGCTGATGTTTTATGAACTAATTTTCTTCGTTAAGAACAACTACCCATAAATTTAAACCTGAAGGAGAGCATTATGAACATGAATAGGAACCGAATTGGCTAACTTAATTTTTAGAGTTTTTAAGATTTTATTTATTTATTCATGAGAGACACACAGAGAGGCAGACACAGGCAGAGGGAAAAACAGGCTCCACGCAGGGTGTCAGATGCGGGGCATGATCTTGCATTTGATTCTGGACTCCAGGATCATGCCCTTGGCCGAAGGCAGACGTTTTAACCACTGAGCCACCCAAGGGTCCCAAGAAATTTTTTACCAAAAGAAATTGACATTTCAGATGAATAGGATTTTACTTTTTAAACTTAATTAAAAACCATATCACAAGGAATCTCACTTGGAACAGAAGTTTGCATCATTTATATTTTCTTCTCCTTTTAACTCTATATTCTCTATTATTTACTGATGACACTGTAGAAAGAAAACCAACAGTTTTCAAAATTATATTAACCAACACTGATATTTATTCAGTCAGCAAGTAGAAGAAACAGCATTCTTAAACTCTATTATGCAAACTTACCAATTTTTCTCATTTCATTTATTTAACTCCCTTTAATGTCAGGATGTTCATCCATTTTCTGGAATAAAATTGCTAAAAATAACAATGAAGTTGCATGACAGGATGAATGAAAATAATACCAAATCGTAGAATATGCTAATCATATATAATCATCTTTAGAAATGTTTCTTTTGCTTTTATTATGGTTTCCCTATAATGAAGATGTGAATAATAAAGAAAAACTTGACCATAACTAGAAGAAAAGATTTCCTTAAGAAGAAATTATATCTGTGAATGTTCAGAAACTTCTGTCCTTGTTGGAAAGTGTCACATTAAAGGCATAAAGCAAAGGCAGAAGAATAATTGTTTTAAAAATGTATTTTCTGTGAGTATTCATTTTCAGTTTTTTCTTCTTTAAAACTTTTTGCACCATAACATTTAATGATGTTATTATCTTTGGCTGCCATTATTTCTCATTTAATTTAATGCTTCAAAAGGACATTTAGGATATTTTTCTCTCTGTTGAGCTTAGTGTAAAGTCTTGTATCAAATTTTGATTTACATATCTGCTTCTGGAGTGATAAGGATAGAGAAAAAAATTGATCTATTAAATATTTTTTCTAGTTGCCTACTGTTTAAGTAGCTTAGGCAGAGCTACCTTTGACAAATAACTTGTTGCAGAGTCATGATTGCCAAGTATGGAGTGGGATCTATGAAAAAAGTAGGAATTGACTATGTTGTGACTTGGATTGGAGGTACAGGTGATGTGGTTATAAAAAAACAGGAAAGACAAATGTAATATGTAAATTACATATTTATGTAATTTATGACAAATGTAATATCTCAGTTTTTGAAGTAAGCATAAAATTATTTACCAATATACTAAGTCCCATTAGATAAGTTCACTAGAACACAGAATGGTGTTTGAGAGCTAACAAAGAGTCTTTAAATATTAAAGTATAATTTCAAAAGTTAGAAGTATAACTCTCATACAGAAGTAAAACAAAAAAGTCAAGGATTTTATTTGGTCCATTGACTAATGGGGGAACCAGTAATATGTTAAAACTAGTCCAAAGAGCATTTGAGAAGCTAGTTATATATATATATATATATATATATATATATATATATATATATATATATCCATATAGTAATATATAGATCCATATATATATGGATAAGTTAGAAGGCTAGATATAAAACTAATTAGTGTCTTATTGTACAATAAAATATAAACATTTAGGTTTTCTATTTCATTGGACATAAATTCTTTGAGTCCATCAATTAAAATCAACAAATTAACATCTGTACCTCAGAAGTATGAAGTAACCACACTGATTAAAGTTCAGTTCTGCACTAAATTACTATCCCTTGCCTATTTCCAAGTTTTGGATTATTTTTCTGATGGGTGATATTTCATTGTTGTACTTCCCCTAGTTTTTTGTTTTTGTTTTTGTTTTTGTTTTTTTGCTTCCCCTAGTTTTAAGAATTATATTACCAGTATTTGAATGATAAAGATCACACATACACCTAAAATCATATTAAGATAATCCAAGTTAGTAGGAAGGGCTCCAGGATGAGGCTGTGTTTTAATTATTCTTTAATTAATTTAATTATTCTCTCCTATCATTACTCTTTCCTCTGTCTGGAGACAGAGTAATTCAGAGGCTAAATTAAATAAAATGATATGGAGGATAAATGCATGGCTGCCTCCAATTTACAGTTCCTATCTGACAGTTCCACAAATAATTTGTGACTTGTGACTTTAACGTTGCCCCCTGAGCACTATCATCCCTAGCCTGTATTTTTTCTCTCTTTCTGTAGTATACAGCCCTAAAAGAGGAAATGTGCTTTGCAAGAGTTTTTCTGAAGATGACAATCAAGAATAATTTACCGTATCTCCAAGCCTACCTCCTATTTGTTATTGGCTAATATATCTGGCCTATTCTAACAAAGCCTCTTTAGGGATCTGTGGGCATCTTCCAGGCAGGAGAAGCAAGAGTGAAGTCTTCTCAGAAGAGAGGGGACAGGTTTGGATGAATAGAACTCTGCTTTTCCACAAATAG